TTCGATTGTGGTCTGTTATATGATGGCCACTTTGAACTTCTCAGTCCCAACTGGACAAACTCAAGTCAATTCCTTTGTCTGTTACGTCATACAGAGCGGTTTTCTTGTGGATTTGACTGGTGCCGCAGTGATTTGTAACGTGATATGTCAATGTGCTGACCGGTTTTGGGCCATTATCTATCCGAAATCCTACCGTGCTCATACACAACGTTACATCATCGCATGCTATATGTTCATTGTTAAATACTCCATTCTGGTCTCATGTTTGCGCTTTTTTCAAGCAGATCTGATTGACGGAAAATGCACTCCGATACATCTATCGATCGAAAAATATGCGTTAGCCACATTGAAAATCATCTTACTCTATTTCCTACCGGTTGTGCTCATGNTCATGCTCTCACTGACCATTCCGGTCATATGCCAATTGCGGCAGTACGTAATCGGGACTGGTCGTGACCAAAACACCACAACAGTACCACAGCACACCAACTGTAACGGAATTGAACGCAATGAGGATCTAAAACAGGCCATTGTGATTGCCCAGCGTAGTATATTTCTCAACACATTGATACTAGCGATCGAACTAACTGTGTTGGAGCTAATTTTAATCATATTTCTGGTTTTAGACAAACTACGCGTCGCACTGATGGGAGTTCCTTCTCCTTTTCAAATATACTACTATTGTGTCGTCTCGTTGTTCACCACATTCAATCCGTTTATAACAATTCTGACAGTGACTCCACTGAAGCGAACCGTAGTCAGTCAGTGGCGCACATTTATACCCAAATGTGAAAGCACACACTTGCATTGCCTTTGTTATCAGCGAGCACCAAATTGAAATAACGCCTTGTTCTTCGTGTGTTCCCATATGCACCTGTTGATGAAAATTTAAAAAAAAACCCCCAAAAAAAACAAAGCACACGCATTGTCAACCTGGTTCACTGTTGTCAATCACTAAGAGTGGAGTGTGACTCAGGAAAAATCAATGACAAATTATCGATTCGTTTGAAACTTTCTGTGAATTTCCATCGCCGATTAGAATATCCAAAATAAAGTAAGGATTCCGTTCAAAGGCAAGTATCTTGATTCGGCCGCGTGACTGTTGTGTATCAAACGTTTCTGAACCACTTACGACTGTTCGTTTTGAAGAACATGTTAAAATTTGAATATGTGTGTATTTTTATTTTATTGTTACCATTATTAAATACAGATTCTTTTCATGATATTGAGAGACCATTACGTCATTGGCTTTTTTAATGTCCATCTAATTGAATGATCAATATAAACTTGAATCCTCTTTTAAAATCAATACTCATTAGGACGATACGACCTATCACTTGCTGTTTAGAGGTATAAGGCATCGGTAAGTATGTAAGTAAACATGGTGGAGATAGATACTTCCTTTGCTTATTACCTATATTTTATCATTATTTAGAAAAATAACTGAAGTGTGCTACAAGGAACCAAGGAACCCTGAGGTTAGCCAAGATGCTGAAATATAATCAACCAGAATCCATCAATCCAATCGGAATGGGAAAACCGTGTGCAACGAGAACGAGGGATATCATGAGTTCACTTTTCTTGAACTAAGTATATCTTTTGAAGTCGATGGCAAAAATGTGAGGTGAAACATGGCTGGGCATTTATGCTCACATGGTAATGGTTGCTCGTCAATGAAAATCTTTATGCAAAAATAAGTGAACCGAATGGATCGGTCAGATGATTTGAAACGAAATATACACGGTGGCAGTGACATATCAAAACAAAATAACTGCCGAAAATCTGCTACGCTCCCCAAGTAATCGTGCGAATTCGGTTGAGATATTTTAAATTCCATAAAATAAGAATATCGACTCGAATGACGCACAATCCTTCTTATGCAGACCATGTACGAGTTGGTTTTTAGTGAGGCCCCGTTTCCGCACTCACTTGAAAAGTAATTCAGCATGGAGAAAAGGGGAGGAGTGAGCCCCAACAGAGACGGTCATGTGTTTCTGTTCGCATGAGATCGACTGTGATTGGAGTAATGGTGATGTTGGTGATCAATTTGGGTCCAGGGCTTAAACCAGCTGCTATTGTGCACATAGTTCAGATGTAAAAAGGGGAATGCCTCAGCGGTGTTTAGAATGTGTTAGTGTACTTCACTTTGGATGTTGAGAGCACATGGGAGATAACAGTGAACACGAATTCTGATCTAATCTGCTGTCCTGTATCCATTAGATGACCACGGATAGCGCTTTCTCTGTTCCCGGTACCTCCTGGTCCTAAACAGCAGGATGATTTTCTCGTCCTATGACCAACGTACGTTCTATTCCATTGAGAAGGTAAACATGTAATTGTCCAGGTTAGACAACCCATATTTGTGGCTGGTTCGGATTGAGGAGGTGATTATCTAATAAATAAAGGCCACAAAATTAGATGAGAATACGCATTCCCTACTATCTTCCTTGTGATCTCAAACCCAAAGAAGCAGTGCACTTACATACGCACCAACCACCGCTGAGTAGAAAGGCATCCACCAACCGTTTCGCATCCGAATTACGGGCAAAGCCTTCTACTTACCCTGGGCCCCAATTGAGCATCAACATCACCAATACTCCAATTGTGGTCGATGTCATCCCAACAGAAACACGTAACCGTCTGTTGTTGTGGAGCTCACTACTTCTCTTTTTCCATACTGAATTACCTTTCAACTGAGTGTGTAAACGTGACCCTACTAACAGCAAACCGCTATATGATCTGTGCAGGCAGGGTTTCCAATCGTCGGAAAACAATTGTGCGCCATCGTATTTGTGTTGTATGATATTTTAAGAAGGGCAAACAGTTTTTTCTTTATGCTTGGGATCCACTCGGAATAAATCGTAGTGTCCCAATCGAGGCTTGGCTCGCGAACCTACAGTTCAGGATCTGAATTGCTTACATCGGAGCAATAGGCTCCATTAGTAGTACCTGTCCATCTGCCGGGATGAGATGAAGTTGTTGCTATTTACTTTGCATGCACGGATTAACAGAGATGGAATACGTGCATGTGTGTGTGTATCCTCGTCCTCGCCCACGAGGATGCAAAGTTGGTGTTCGTGATATGGTGACCAAAAATCACTAAACAAATATATTGTAAAAGGAGAATATGACTGACCAGCCTGTTTTTCAGGATATGAGAATGATACCGAAGACAGAACTACACGCAGACCAGTCACCCTACCTCTCTAGATAATGCGAGCGAAAATAAATGGCTGACCAGTTCAAATAGGTTTGCGCAAATGACGCCACCAGGAAAAGCCTGTCCAATTTGATCTTCAATTGTATCCTTGTCCTTCTCTTCCTCCTTCGCCAACAACAATAACAACAACGGGAGAACCGAAAGTGTTCCAAACAATGCCACACAACAGGTCGCTCAATATTGCACAATCGCACTGCAGGGGTGACCAATTCAAAGGTTATACGAATCACGCATTTAGTAAATAGCGTTCCTACAAGTGTCAACTGCATGATTAGATGGGATTTTTTTTAGCTGCTTTCTTTAATTTTCGTGGTTTTGAAGCGATTTAATCGGCCTATGCTCTTTTCGATTGGATTAATACGGGCACTGATCAAACTCATGCATCACCCTGACACTTTCATCTCATTTGTTTCTCTCAACGCCCCACTCCCTAGGCCTCATTCTCGGGATTGAATAGGATATCGCCTCACATCAGACGCAACACATCTGTAATCATATCCACTTTGGTTTTTCTACTATTGCTCGAATAATGTTAAAACGTACTATAGTTCTCGAAATCGACAACAGTGAGTTGGCCCTAATAAATACCTTCATTAAAAGGAATGAAGTTCCATGCTGCTTTGTATAAAATATTTTTTCAATTTTGAGATGTCAATTTAGCACTACTTCAAATTTTCATCGCAACACTCACGGTGAAGCAACTTCAAACGATGATACGAGATAACTGAGAGTTCGGAATAAATATTCGTTACCCATAGTCAGCAAGATACAATTGTGATATTGCAACATGAAATTTATTTTCAAAACGAGAGTCATCGTGCACGTTAGTAATATCTAGACCGGTCTAAGGGAATCCATGGGAATGGGAGTTCCTATTTGATCGAAATCAGAATGAATAATTCTCAGATTGTACGAATCTGCGTAAAAATCTCACAGTGCTTCAGCTGTTAGGTATTTCTCCAGGCTTATCAATGCTGAAGTATATAGATTGAACGCATTATTCTCTGATCAAATTCTGAGGACTGGAAACAACAAACACCTGTGCCAAGGTATAAGACTTCTCTACGGAAGGAAGAAAGTACGGTCGAACGTAGATGTGGAC